GCGGGGAGAGAGAGAGAAAGAAACAGACAGACAGATAGACACATCAATTGGTTGCTTCCTGCACAAGCCCACCCCAATCGGGGCTGGGGATCGAATTGCAATCCAGGTATGTGCCCTTGACGGGGAATCAAACCCTGGACCCTATGGAGCTCCGGTCAACGCTCTGCTACTGAGCTACATGCCAGGGCTTCGTTTTTAATAGGAGTACAAGTTACAATGCTTAATGATTCTCTGCCACTGCTCCCAAAGGGAAATACTCTGCCTAAACCATTTCAATCATCAATCTGACATATGATTTAATCACAAACATAAAAGTTCTTTCCATGAAAACTTTTCTACCCACACACAGACACCTCACTTGTGCAGTGCCTCAAGTTCTAGCATCTAATTAATCTTTCCCTTTCAGCAATATTTTTAGGATGAAATACCACTTCCAAAATGATACCCAGAGAAAAGAGAGATTTGAAACATTAAATGTGCATGTCTTAATTGCTAAGATTTGCACTTAAATTTTGGAAGTGTTTTCCCTCAAACATCAGTGGGCAGAAGAACATGTTCAAAATAAAGATTCCTGTGTCCTCGCCCCAAGAAATCAAAATCAGTGGGCCTGGGGCTAGACTAGGAATCTGCATTTTTCCATCAGCGCCCTGGTGTTTCCGATACAGGTGGTCTTGAAAAATAGCGCTGCAGGGAAGAGAATTCATTTTCATGATAGCTGTCCAGTCTTCAAGACCCTTCTCCCAACTCCATGATTTTTTTTTTCACTTGACACTTTTGAAACAATCCCTAGTTGGATTAATAGTTTCTCTAGAAAAACTTTGAAATGTAACAACACCACCAAAAGGCAAAGCATGAAAGGCAGAGTCAGAGAAAGCTGAAAAACTTACTTGGTTTTTAGGAATCACTGAAAATTGGAACTGGATGGGCTCTTGATCATTCTAAGCTAAATTTCTCATTTTAACCTTTCAACGGTATTTTAAGCACCCCCATGACTATTAATGTTGCTATCTACATTCTCCAGTTACCTCTGTCATGCTACAAAGTGAGAGGGTGCCTGAAATTTAAATCAGTCTCAACAGCCTCTTGCCCTGGGTTTTCAATGAGCCTTGCTTTCCTTTTCTGCCTCTCCCTATTTGAACTCTTGAGAATCAGAATTCTTTATTTGATCCATTTATTTCATTATTTTCTAGAAGATGACTCAGGACCTTCTGGGAATTCCCACCCGACCCCAAATGTAATTTGTTGCACTGACCATAGTAAACGTATATTTTCAAATCACAAATTCAGATTTCCACTTAAATAGCTGCAGACGCGGCAAGCTACCCCGAAGTTGCCAAAGTCAATATGTTAAGTCTGTCTCTAGGACAACAGACTAAAGAGCAGTAAACGAGGTTTTGAACTGCATTCCTGTTCATTTCTGATTTAGCTACAGGCTTCTACACGCTCCCATTACACTCTGGCCATTCTTTTGTCTGATCTTAAAATTACATGGAGGGACTCTGCTGTTACTGTTCCACTTTTTTTTTAAGACACTGTTTCAATTTTTCTTGCTGTTTCCACACATATTACTTTTTCTAATTTTCACTGTCAGTCATTGCATGCGCTGCCCTACACACCACCTGCGTGCACCTCACCACCATTAAATTTTTTTTCTATGTGAATTGAGGACCTAAGTATTCCATGGCTTAATTAGAAATCTGCAAACCCCTCTACACAATGGACCAGTGCTGATTCAGTAGGTACTTCCTGCTGCTTTTGTAAAAGCTCTTCCCCGTTTTCTAAAAAAAGACATTGGATAGATAATCTCTTTCTTCCAATTCTAGAGTTTTACAAGACATCTTTTTTGTAGATTCAAGAAGATAATACACTGCCAATGCCAGAATGTCAATCAATCTAGACCAGTGGTTGGCAAACTTCGGCTCGTGAGCCACATGCGGCTCTTTGGCCCCTTGAGTATGGCTCTTCCACAAAATACCGACATCTGCTCATGAGCCACGAAGTTTCAATTGCACTGTATGTGCGCACCCGCATCTGCGCATGAACCATGAAGTTTCAATTGCACTGTACGTGCGCACCCACCCGCACGTGGTATTTTGTGGAAGAGCCACACTCAAGGGGCCAAAGAGCTGCATGTGGCTCGCGAGCCGCAGTTGGCCGACCACTGTCCTAGACCATAAATTAATAATTTAAATTCATCTAACTATAACCAGCATTACTTGATGGGGAAAGACACAAAACCCAGTGTCCTAACTAAGCAAAATGCATGTAGGAATATTGACGATAAACTGTTATGTGAAGAATGTCTAAAAAAAATAATACATAAGACAGAATAATTTTTTTTAAGTTGCACATATTTAACTAGGACACAGGGACAACCCCACAGAGCTAAGCTTTTCTAAACTTAAGTCAGTGTTTTCCAGTACTGCTGTTATAATCTGTCAATTCCTTTAATATCTTTAAGTTGTTCTATTATTTAATGTTTCATTTAAAAGGTTGGTATATAAGGCTGTGTGTGAAAAAGGTCCTAAAGGTACCAACAATGTGAGTTACCCAGTTCTTAGTTAAGGTTACATAAAACACAGTCACATATTTATATAGATCATTTAACACACAGAGGAAAATACATGGCAGCAAACACATCCCGTATCTGTAAGCAGATATTCCATCATGATGATACCATGACTGGCATCACACATCTGCTAAAATAATATATCTACCTTTTGCTGTAACACAAACCAAACTCCTCAATGGGTCTACAGTTTGAAAAATGTCTTATGTTTTCCATAATAAGAAGAATAGGTTGTTACAAAGATAAAAGGAAGGATGAAGCTCTCAAACACAACTTTAACTCTACCAACTCTGGCAAGATAGCCTCAAAGAAGGAAATAAAATGAAACTTTTTTTTGTTTGTCACCTCTGAGCAAATCCTCTTAGATGTAAGCCTATGTCTATCTATGGATGACATGTGAACAGAAGGCCCTAATGAGTGTGCATACTGGAAGGCCAGAAATTATAGACATGTCATTTGGGAGCAGGGGGAGGTGGAAAGCCCTCAGGGACAATCAGGGCCAGCAGCCGCCACTCGAACCTGCTGACGGCACCCAGCAATCAGGGCCGGCGCTGGCAGCGGGTGTGAGCACCGGGTGGGACCGTGGCCCGCTGGAGCAAAGTATTTTTAGTAACCACCAGAAGCTCACCCCAATGACAGCAACCGGCACCCCAGCTGGGACTGGTGCCCCCGGCTCACCTGCTCCACCATCCTGCCTTAGCTGACGCTGCCATGTTCCACACACCCCCCGGTGGTCAGTGCATGTCATAGTGACCAGTCGTTCAGTTGTTTGGTTGTCCCGCCATTCGGTCTATTTGCATATTAGGGTTTTATATAGAGAGATTAGCAAAAACAGTCCAGAAAACAAAGCTCCAACTGTCCTAACACACCAGCTATCTATCCAGCCTCAAGATCCCATTCCAGTGGGTGAAAACCTACATGGAGAAACCACATAATCCAGTATAAATAAAGCAATGATAGTAACCTTCAGTTTTCTGCTACAAAAAAATTGGTCAGAAATACAGTCAGCACTGCCGAAAGAAAAAGCAAAATCGCCGCGGAAGGTCAGAAATAAAGACTGTAGTCTTATAACTGCAGGATATCCTATAAAATGAAAATGTAATTTATAAATCATTTTTAATGCTACCAGAAACCAAAGGAAGGGCAATAGGGGAGTATTTATACAAGACCACCTTCAATAGATTCTTCCCATAAAACAATCTACTGAAGAGAAAAATGGTCACATTAGTTTTTAATGAAAGGCAGGGAAAGTGTCTCTGTTCATTCACCTGTATAAATATCAATTGCTTAACTTGGAAAGGATAGCACAGTTTCTTCAGGAGTGTCACATCCACTGTAAGCTGTACCAACTGATGACCTGATGGGTATAAAACTACTCCAGATAATTTTACCTGGGCAATTTTACCTGGCCCCTCTCCCTTGTCTGCAACTGAGTCTTTCGTGCTAATAGTATATTGTTAGGCAAGGTGTTAACTTATTCAAGTTTTACTCTGCAATTAAATTCTTTCATACCATTCACAATAGGACTCAGCTATAGTTTCCTCCAAATTGGAGCCTGAGAACAATAGTTTACAGAGAGAACTCAACCTTCCAAAAATTAGATTTAAGGGGGAGGGAGGATTTTACATTTTCCCCAGCATATCTTAATCTTTCCATCTAGGTATGTTGTGTGGGTATTATCTCTGAAATATCGGGCTGAGCTGGGATGATGTGCAATCCTGCTCATGAGTATTCTGTCACTTTGTTCTGCTAAAAAAGACACTGATGAGGACATGCTTCATGGCCAAAAAATTCACTACATGCCTAAAGGGGAAAACAGAAAAAGATAGGCAGGCCTGAGGGTGTGATTATCTATTTAAGCATGCAACTGTATTTTAAACATAATTAGACTAATTGCCTCCCAATCTAAGCTGATGCATCTGCACACACAATTAATTAGAACTGATTTTAAACGCCCTGTTTGGAATCCTTTGTTCCCCACTTTCTACAAATCAGATTACCAAGGAACAAATTCCATTTCTCAATTTTTCAATTTTCATTTTTTAAGAAAGGCAAATTTACATTACCTGGATCTGACCCACGGATGTAAGTCACTTAACTAGCAATTTATTTACTCTGCAACTAAAAGCCAATTCAAATTTTTCCTCTATAAAATAATTCCTGGTAAATAGGATGATCTTGCAAGGCCGTTGTAGAAAAACTTGAATCAGCTCATAGCTCTTCTTTGAAAAAGGAAGGTGGGAGGAGATAAAGTTCCGTTTTGCAGGAACATTAGAGAAGTGTGCTCTTAAAGCTACCTTTTACTATGTTCTTTTTTTATTTTTGTTTTTTATTGATTTCAGAAAGGAAAGGAGAGAGATAGAAACATCAATGATGAAAGAGAATCATCCATCAGCTGCCTCTTGCACATCCCACATTGGGGATCGAGCCCACAACCTGGGCACGTGCCCTGATTGGGAATCGAACCAGTGACTTCCTGGTTCATAGGTTGATGCTCAACCACTGAGGCGCACCAGCCGGGCTACTATGTTCCTTATTCTCTATTGGTTTTTCTACTGTGAACCAAATGTAGTTAAGTGATTTAAAAAGGGCATCAGGGACTGTTGAACAGAGTAAGACAAAAGCTCGGACACTAAAACTGGAGATGGGGCTGGGAGGGGGTAGGCAGCAAGGAGGGACAAGAAAAGGCAAACAAAAAGTGAAAAGGTGCAGGGAAGAGGGAGGGTGAGAAAAAGCAAGCGTGATGGGTTTACCCAGAGATTGCAGCGCCTGCACAGGGGAGGCAGTCAAACCAGCTCAGGGAGCTTTTCCCCAAATAAATATTTACTGAGTGAATGAATGGTGGCCGGTGTCCACAGCAACCTCAGAGGTGTGTACCTGATGCAGAGGACAGTCATTAGCCCATGACAAGTGAGGGAAGCCACAGAGCGAACCCACAGGCCTGGTGAGGTAAGGCAAGTGTGAAGGTGGGAGCTAGAACCTGGAGCTGGGGAAGCCTGGCGGCCAGCTGGAGATCACCACCATCCCTGCCTGAGCTCTGACCCTGAGGCTGCAATCTGGAAGGTTACAAATAATCATTACACACAGACATGGGAGGGGCCGCCATCTTGTGCTGGGGCCAGAGAGAAGAGCATTACCTAACTGGAGACAACTCAGGGGGTGCGGACCTTGGGATCTGAGCCTAAGGGGCGGAGCATGATGGAAACTCTGTAGCTGACAGTGGGAACAGAAATAGGAAAGGGAAACACCCCCGTGAAATGTCCCGTTTCCCAAAGCAGGGCTGGGCTGGAACAGCTCAGTGAGTGTCTGTGATGACTCAGATGCTGACACCGAGAGTTGCCCCAGCTTGAATTCGCTGCCTACTTACTTACAGTGACCTTGCAGAACTGCCCCAAATAGTTTTTGGTGATTCCCCATTAGGGAGTAGAGAAGACGTCTTCTAAATTCTATGCGGAAAGCAAACCAAGGACCAATACATGGGGAAGCACAGAAGTACCTGTCGGTGAGATTCCATTGTTGGACACAGAAGGCAACATGGGAAAGGGGGATTTTCAGCAGGCTGTGACTCCCCGAGTCAATAAGCTGGAGAAAACGCGTGCAGATTTCAGTATGGTCTTTGGTGAGACATGTGACTGCAGTCATGTTTATGAGTGCCTACAGAGACACTTAAATGAATTCCACTTGTAATGTATGCAGCCAGGATTAGATTAGAAAAAGGAAATTCATTCCTGACATTAATCAACAGGCTCAGGACACTCACCAGAATCCACCCACAATCCAGTTGTTTTATACTGCAAAGGAAAAATAAAGGATATCTGAAGGCTAATTTGAATCCACACTGCCTCATAGGAGGAAATATGCTCAAGTCACGACACAGCCAAGATTAATAGGTGTTTCCACCCACTTCTTAAACAGTTTTAGGTACAGAAAACAATGTCACTTCTCTTCCCAAGAATATGTTAAGCACAGGAGTTTGCAGAAATATATGCAAAAGACAGCATTCCTTGCCATACCCTCATTATCTGGTGTTCTGGGTAGCTTTAAAAGTATGAGTACTGAATTCCACCGACGCAGTCGGTTACAAAGGGTACATATTCATTTCCGAAAGCTAAAAGCAGAGATACTGCTGTAGTCTGAAATCATGTTGCTCATCTCCTAGGTTGAAAAAAAAATAAAGACTCATGGCAAGATTATTTTTTTAAATCATTCCACGTTTATCTTCATAAAACAACATAAAATGAATCACCCTACGAGCAAGTATGACACTTTAATTCTCTTCTCTATAAAAATTCTTAGTTCCAACCTAAACATCTGAAATGATTAACAATCATTTTCCTGTTTGCCACGTTTTTCAATATGAGGTTGGCAGAGCAACTGAGACCAACATAACATCAAGTAAACCTCACTTGGGGATTTGTTCATTTAACAAACTCTTATTGAGGCCCTACTATGTACCAGGCAGTGTTCCAGCGGCTGAGGATACAGACAGGGATAAGTTTAGTCCAAGTCCTGGACCTCAAAGACCTTCCTGTCTACTGGGGAGAGGGATGGGGAGTAGACAAATATATAATTTTAAACGGACATAGTGTTACCAAGAAAAATAAAGCAGGGCAAGGCAGGAAGACTGACAGGAGGAGAGGGAGGGGCTTATTTGGATATGGTGGTCAGAGGAAATGGCATTTGAGAAGAGATCGAACTGAAGTAAAGGTGCGAGCCATGTTGAAATATGAGGGGAAGACCTCCCTTTGACGCAGGGCAAAAAGCAGGTGCTAAGGTCCCAGGCCTTGGTGGTTTGATGAACAGCAAGAGAATCTGTATCGCTGGAGCAAAATATAGAATGAGTGTCCGATAAGGTGGAGGAAAAGGCATGACTCAGTTATATCACTTCAGTCTCGTGGGTCACTGTATAGTTTTGATCAAGAGAGTGTCATGTCACACTAACTGAGATGCAAGGGAATGACTCAGGCGACACAGGTGGACTGGGAAGATTATAGTCGGAGACTATTTCGATAGTTTGAGCTTACCCCGACAGTCTCTAAATCAGAGGTGGGGAACCTTTTTCCTACCAAGGGCCATTTGAATATTTATAACATCAATCTCCGGCCATACAAAATTATCAACTTAAAAATTAACCTGCTGTATTTGGTCAAACATATAATTAACTCACCCCTAATGCCTTGGCAGAGCCAGATCAAATAATTTCACGGGCCTTATATGGCCCACGGGACTGACTTTCCCTACCCCTACTCTAAAAGCTTAGATTTTATAGGGGGTAGGCAGCTACTTCTTATATTTAATTTCATCTAAAGATATAGATATAAAGACATTTATATCTCTATACACAGATACACACTCAGTGACTTTATTAGTTTGAATAACTGAAAACAGGTTTCAAATCATTGCAGTCGAGCAGCCTGAAAATCGTGCCCCCAAAAATGACCATCCTCCCCCCTCTTATTACAACTACATGAAAGTCATGTAGGAGTGAATAGTTCTTTTGTCCTTAAACAGGCTATCTGAAAAACAGAAGCATACTGTCTTTTATTGTCAATTCATGGCTCACAAAGCCTCTGAGGTTGGCTTTTGTCCTTCAAAAGCTTTTAATTGACAGGTACATTTAAGCTTATTTTACAGGCTGTGAGAAATGGAATGCATTGGGAGCGGGCCACATCTCCCTTTTTCTGAAAGGAAAAAGATATCAGTAATGCAGTGACCTCACCTTCAAGGAATGCATCAGGGACATGGAACAAAGGTGGCTTCCTTCATAAGGAAACACAATCTGTTGCAGAAAACTGCTTCATTACTTTTGAATGATTTAGGGCTGCACAGTCTACCAGAAACGGTTCCAGTCTTTAATCTGTATTTATTTTATTAGCAAAACTGCTAGTGATATCATTCTTTGTTTGAATCTTACCAAAAAAAGCCTAGCATGTTCATTAATCAAAACTATGTAAGCCCTGGCCAGTTTGGCTAAGTGGATAGAGCATCAGCCTGCAGACTGAAGGGTCCCTGGTTTGATTCCAGTCAAGGGCACATGCCTGGGTTGTGGGCTCGATCCCCAGTAAAGGGTGTGCAGGAGGCAGCTGATCAATGATTCTCTCTCATTGATGTTTCTATCTCCCTCTCCCTTCCTCTCGGAAATCAATAAAAATATGTTTTAAAAAAAACAACAACAGAAAAACTATGTATAATTGTTCAGATCACCTTTGATTGTGCCAAATAAGTGTATTTATCAGGAATGAAAACTGTCTACAGGGATAGGAGCTCTGGTAGGCTGACCAGAGACTCAAGAAGCACATGAGATGTGGAAGGTAAACGCAACCTAAAGTTTCAGGTTGCACTTAGTATATAAAAGGAAGTCCTGCATTTTCACATTTTGGGGCATGTTGAGTGTTTCAGCTTATGAAATTTATTACCACAGCATCCTTTTATAGTGACATCACTGCAAAACAAACTCTTTGAGAACAGAATGAATTCATCCATGGCTAACCTGGATGCAACAAACAGAACACAGTTACTAAACCATTGCTTCACCCCTTCAAGGTCACAAAACATCTTGTTACATATTTTCCCCCAAGTTCAGGTAGTCAATAATTTACTTTCTTGGGTCGGATAGACATTATTCCATAGGATCAGCTCTTAAAATGATCCCATGACCATTTTGAAGTGATTCTGCTGTCCAACTAAAACTGCTACGGTTGCCATTCTAAGGCTATCGATAGACAGTTGTGATCTAATTACCCCCGACTTTGCAGATTGTATTATCTAGTGCATGGCTGCCAAGAATTAGCAACTCTGCATACTTGTCAGATAACACTCACCTGACTAGGAAAATGGATAGTAAGTGTCAAACTGAAAATCGATTTTGGTTTTAATCTATCTTTACCCCACCTCTTTGGTTCTTTTGTTTAACATGCCCATGTGTCTGATAACAGTGCCAAGAAATGGTGACCTTTCAGCCCAGGCACAGAGAAGAAATGTATACTGAACAACTGCTACATGCGTCCTTTCCATACATTCCAAATCTCAATATATAATCACTGAACATAAGCCATATTAGATAAATCCCACATTGGCTAACAGCTCCCAGTTACAGAAGGAATTGGTAGACCATAGCCTGGCTGCAGTTAAACAAAGACAAGACACTAGCTAGTTGTTAATGATGGTTTACTCCCTGCCCAGACACGGACCTGATACCACTAAATTGGAAGGAGAAAAAAGCCACCAGCAGGGGCTGAGAAATTTACATATCAGGTTAATGTGGAAAATAAACGCCTCTCAGTCCAGGAAATAAAGAAAGCTAGGATCACAAAGAAGAAACTTAACCTAGCAACACACGCAAACTGTCATATAAATATTCATATAGCATTGCCATTCCTTCCACACAAAGCCCTTCTTCATAACATACCTAGAAACCACAGCGTGACACATTTCTACAGTTACCAAGTCTTCCTAACACGCTGATCCTCGAGATATGCCATTCTCTTTCATCTATAATGAAATGTTAGGACTCAGGGGTGGGGAACGTACGGCCCGAGGGCCATATAAGGCCCACAAAATCATTCGGTCTGGCCCTTCCGAGGCATTAGGAGTGAGTTAATTAAATGTATGACCAAATATAGCAGGCTAATTGTTAAGTTGATAATGAACGTATGGCTTGCAAATGATGTTATAAATAAATATCCAAATGGCCCTTGGTGGAAAAAAGGTTCCCTACCCCTGTGTTAGGTAGACTTCAGTGTGACTTATTTGTAGGTATCACATAGCTTAGTCTCTTGAGAGTTAATAAAAACTCGAGGTATATCTATGCCTTATAGTTAAATATTTGATACATTAACAATCACAGAGAATCATCATCCTGCACAGGTATCTGCACTAGAGAGCCCGGGGTCCTTGTGGGGTTTCATATCAGAGTTGGCCGGTCCATGATTCAAGAATTGCAAAGAGTGTCTTGGGGCTGATTTATTCTTCCAACTACCCTTTTCTTCCCCCTTCCCTCTTTGTTCTCAAGAATTGTAATTTCATTGTGAATGTGCATGTTGCCTCTTCTGGGATTTAGCATGGGAAGGTGCTATTGCTAACCACATCAGGACCTGAGCTTCCTACCATCCACAGAATTACCTGACACGGGAATTGCTTAGGATGTTGATAATCTGCATCAAAACAGAGGCCATGATTACTCGTAACATTTTCATTCCCAAAGCAGAGATTTTCAAGCAGGGAAATCACAAGGTGTTTGGTAAAGATCACATGCATCCTAGTAACTCCATTTCATTTTCCTCTATGTCAGAATGACGATGTGCCTGGGGGATATGAGAAAATAGGTGACATATTTTAACTTTTATAAGGCTTCTGATTAAATTCAGCAGAACATTCTTTCTAATAAACTGGGAAAACATGATTTCTAGACCACCATGGTGGGTGCAACACAAATGTTTCCAGGGCCACCCTCAAGAGAACTGTGATTCAGGATCCAATTACATCTAAGTTTCATGAGGGTTTGCCCAGCCCTTGGGTAATACATTCATGGCTGGCTTAAATAATGGAAAATGAATACCATTAAGTGCACCAAAACTGTACATGTGGCTAGGTACTCTCTCTTATGAAGATGTGAATGCATCCAAGTGGACCTTGGAATTCTGGAAAGTGAACAATCTATCACTCCCATCAAGATGCATTTACCGAATGGAACAGCTACTACTTTTTCAAGTGTAAAGAAGAGATAAAAGGTTTAAAACATAAAGAGTTCCAGCTCTCAAATTACTTATCACTTGGAAGCCAAAACTAAAACACAGTCAATTAGAGAACAATCAAATACCAATTGGGGGAAGAGGATGCCTAAAATAAATGTAAAAATTAAAACCAAGTATTCATATAATTACAAATATCTACTAAAGCAATAGCATCTTGGATTGACATTTTTTAGTTCCCGTTGATAGCTGCAAATTGCTGATACTACCATAAGGATGACAGAAACCACAGGAGGCGGTTTAATTAGGATGGCAGTAAAAACTAACGGCTCAAATAAAAAATGGGGGAAACCCAAACTGATATAAGTAGAAGCAAACTGTCTGAGGTCAAGGCACTGTATAAATGAGCAATGCAGTGAGTTATTTTTAAAGGTGCGTAAGATCAGGTAAAAAACGAGCAGCCTGCTCAGGAGGGTCACGGGACAGCCCTTCCACAGAAGGAACTTTATTATTATCTGGCTAAGAGCTATTTTGGACCTGAACCTGAGCAAGACCAGCAGAGGTTGGAGAGTGTCCAAGGGAGAGCGACTAAAATGATTAAAACGTTAGGAAATGGGTCCTAAGAGGACACGAAAAGGAAACAGTTATTTAGGCCAGATAAAGATGCTAGGGAGGCGGCTGGCTGCACAACAGCCCGCAAGGTTATGAAGGACAGCGCACAGGGGAGCGCTTCTTTCCCATTAAGGACGGGACGAGAGGAATGTGATTGAACAGCAAGGACAGGGATTTGTATTGGATACCAAAAAAAGAAAAAAAAGAACTTCCTGGCTGGGAAGATTGCAAGGCACTGGAAGAAGTTACCAGTAAGCTTTTGAAATGTTCTTTTTCGGGAGACTTTTTTTTTTTTTCCAAGACATCTTCAGAACATGTTCACTCTGTGTCCTTTCTTACCCTACAAAATCAGGAAGTGGGTATTTTAACTATAAATAGAAGCTCCATTAAAAAAACATACAAAGTTATTGAAAGTTGAAGTACAGTATGGCTCTTCACTGTGGCTGCATTTCCAAAAGCCATCAGAACGTTATCAGTTACACAATGCACTTCTTTTGCCAGAGATGGTTCTAGCCACATTAACACACACACACACACACACACACACAGACACACACACACACACTCAGATGCTCTAGATAGGAGATATAAAAATAATTAAAACATGGATAAGCTGACCAGTAATATCTATTTAAAGAACATAATCTTGATACTATGGAAGGAAGGGTGGAAGAGGGTGTCAGGGGTATGAAAAATGAGCCACAAAGGGCGCACACACACACACACACACACTGTATATCCAATGGTGCCATTAAAAGACCCGTGCGAGGGCATAATAATCTTTCCTAACACTAATTTTCAAAATGAGAACTGCACTACAAAGCACACCTTGTTTCCTTGACAGAAGTCATAGGGATCTATCTCTTTTCAATACTATGCCAAAGAACAAAGTCAAAAGATGCGCATTTTAAAATATTTGAGGTATTATTTTCCCCACATCATCAAAAGAAAAGAAAAACAATGAAACCAGTCACAGATTGTCTAACAGATACTTGATCCTGCTGGCTGGGTCTCTTGCCCCAGGATGCGGGGACAGGAAGGGGTACAAGAGATAATGGTGTCACCATCTCCTTTCACAGGTGAGACCCAGAGAACCAGTGTCGCACTACAGGTACTGGGAGGACCAGGACAAACCACCCATTGAGTGACATCATTTGCAGTCACTAACTGATGAACAGCTTGTGTACCTGAAGTTTAAGTTGGCTGCTTAAAACAGAACCAAATATCCTATGGCATTAACATTATAAATGTTGACTAATTAAACTATCAGCCCTGCCAGTGGTTGAGCATCGCCCTATGAACCAGGCAGTCATGGTTTGATTCCCCGTCAGGGCACAGGCCCGGGTTGCAGGCTTGATCCCCAGTAGCGAACATGCAGGAGGAAGCCAATCAATGATTCTTTCTCATTGATGTGTCCATCTCTCTCTCTTCCTCTCCCTTCCTCTCTGAAATCAATAAAAATATTTTTTGAAAAAATATAAAAAATAAATGATCAGACCACACCCACCCACACGTGTGCCCTCACACACACAGATTTTATTTTACAATATAACTGACATATGGTATTAAAAGTTCTAATATCTGGAAAGAGTGAAAACAGAAAGTACTGGCATTTACTGAGTACCTACTAGGTCCTGGATGCTTACGATCTCTTATCTCATGTAATCCTCACAAACCCTGGAAAGCAGATTGCCATCATTTTACAAATTAAGAAATTAGACTAAGGAAATAACATGCCCTAAAGCCACACAGATAACAAGAAATAGAAGAAGGTTGGCCTGATGCTAAAACCCCCTGCCTTTCCTACTACATCCCATTTTTGCTCCAGCAAAACCACAAAGCGCACAGAAAGGAGCATTCAGAGGAAGAAATCAATTCCCCTCACTTCCCCTGCACATTTTTGAAAGAGCTTCTGTGTTCTTTGGCATCTTCCCCACACTTGATGAAACCTTCTCCTATGTCCTGGGCTCGCTCACACTGCCCTCAGTTAGGGTAACCACATGGCCCTGTTTGCCCCAGACAGTCCCGGATGGCTGCTGTTGACTCCGCAAAATTATCAGCAGCATCCCTTTTCACTCTCAAAAGTGTCCCAGTGTAGGGGACAGATTACATGGTCACCCCACCTTAGCCCCTCACTGCACTTCCCCCATGCAGGCTTGTCTGACCCCAAAGAAACTCAGTGTCCATCCCTCCCTTTCAGCATAAACTTCCTGTCCATCAGAGTAGGTGTTCTCACCTCAGTAAGGATGGGGAAAGCAATGGGACTGGATAAATCCATACCCTTTCAAAGAGAACATTTTAGTATGTGGACACCTAATTTCAATCTCTAAGTGCTGAAATTTCAGGCAGTGTGACAACTTTACACGAAGGTAGTATTCAGGCAGAACAAAGGTAGATCATTCCTGCCCTGGCCGGTGGGTTCAATGGTTAGAGCTTTGGCCTGTGCACCGAAGGGTTGCGGGTTTGATTCCCGGTCAAGGGGCACATACCTGGGTTGCAGGTTTGATCCCCTGCCCAGTCGGGGCACACGCAGGAGGTAACCAATCGATGTGTCTCTCTCACATCAATGTTTCTCTCTCTCTCTCTCTCTCTCTCTCTCTCTCTCTCTCTTTCACTTCTCCCTCCCTTCCACTCTCTCTTTAAAAAAAAAAAATCAATGCAAAAAAATATCCTCGGGTAGATCATTCCAGGCCACTGGAGGCCCATCACGCAAACCAGCCCAGCTTAGAGACTGATCCTAGGTCAGGCTCCCCAAGCTGCCCTTGCTTTTCTGCTCTGCCTCTCTTCTCACGCCGATTACTCATCGATTCATCCGGAGGTTCCTGTGGCAGACACAGTGTGGGCTTCTAAGGGGATATTAGAGCAGATCCTGGTGCCCATGGGTGACTGTGAGAGGCACATTCATCTCACAACACCAAGAGGATACCCAGACCCCAATCTCAGTTTGTTCTAAATGCTCACTATCAAAGTTGGCCTTTGCTAGGGTAATTATTTCCAAAATGTCACGGCAGCAAAGGGACTCTGATATCAGACAAGCCTTCATTGTATAAAAGAGGAAACTCTGGCCTGTGGAAGAGAAATCACTGGCTTACAGTCACAAAGGCAAGACGAGAACTCAGGTCTCCTTCTTTCTTGCCACCATATAGGTCAGTGATGGCGAACCTTTTGAGCTCGGCATGTCAGTATTTTGAAAAACCCTAACTTAACTCTGGTGCCGTGTCACATATAGAAATTTTTTGATATTTGCAACCATGGTAAAACAAAGATTTATATTTTTGATATTTATTTTATATATTTAAATGCCATTTAACAAAGAAAAATCAACCAAAAAAATGAATTCGCATGTCACCTCTGACACGCGTGTCATAGGTTCGCCATCACTGATATAGGTGATCCTCAGTTTCCACACAGCCTACATTTTCATACTCCTACGCGGAGACCCGATACTTCTCTGGTGCCGGAGTTGGGCTATCTTGGAATATGTCAACGTTTCAAGCTGTCACGTGATGGTGCCTTTCAACCAACACTTCACTTCCAAGAGTATCCCTGTCTTTGTACAAAAGAATCAAGGCTTTCAATACCTTCTAGTATTCTGGACTTGTTTTATAAAATAAGAAAGTGCTCATACCAGCACATAATATTATGTACTATGAAACACATAATACTGAATGAAAATAATTAGGCCTACCAAAATATTTTACCTCATGGACTTAAACTCTTCAGTCGTGCCCTACTATGGGGGAAAAAAGTAAAAACACATGAAATGCTGGAAATAATTTATCCAAGAGTGTGCTTAAAAGACAAGTTTAACAATGGAAAAATATGGAGAGATTTGCTAACTAATATCACTTTGAATAAGCAAAACCAATATTTAAGGTTTGAAAATTAATTTTATTACATATGTTAATATTTAATCTATGTATTTAATGCGTTAAAGAATTTTTAAATTTATTTAAAGATCTTTAAAACTAAGCAGTGATATAATTAGAAGCGAAAGAATACTTTTAGCTTTATAGGAACAGAATCTCCTTATAACAAATCAAAAGTTCAACTTCCAAATATCAATGCTCAAACACACTTCCTTATACAAATGCCAGGACTATATGTAACCCACACTGATATTCTGATTCTATTACTACTATATTGTTTGAGAGGGTATCTCACATAAATTAAAATTAGACATGGGCCCAGCGGTGTGGCTCAGTGGTTGAGTGTTCATTTATGAACCAGGAGGTCACAGTTCGATTCCCAGTCAGGGCACATGGCCGGGTTGTGGGCTCGATCCCCAGTAGGAGGTGTGCAGGAGGCAGCCAATCAATGATTCTCTCTCATCATTGATGTTTCTATCTCTCTCTCCCTCTCCCTTCCTCTCTGAAATAAAAAATAAATAAATTACTAGACATGGAGCACCCTAGAGTAAACTTTCATTTCACTTCTGTATAATTATTCAATGCTTAGTTCACTTACTATACTTTAAAATAATGAAAATTCACTCCATTCATTGCTGAATTTGAAAAGGCAGTGTTTCAAAAGGATTTCTTTTCTTACAAAAAAAATACTTGAAGAAATTTATTATTTCCTTAGGCTAACAGAACAAAATGTTTATACTTGACAGTCCTTGCCTTTCTGTGCTATATTTAGTGTAACTCAAAATTGATTTGCACATCCTCCTACTGCTCTTTTGCCATGTTTCACAATGCAAATAATCTGCTACTTAACTGCTACTGTCAACCCTTTGAAATGGCACCTCCATTCCCTTCTCAGCTATCCCCAAAGAGCCCACTCACACATCTGTGTTTAAATTGGCTGTGTTTACAGCTACCCATATGTTGCCATTCATGAAGCAACTGCTGCCATCCACTTAACTAAGGCATTGGCGGACACATACACTGCAAAGGACTGCAGGGCCTCAGAAAGGGTGGGGAGGCTCAGAATTGCTCTTAAGGTCACTACTTTTAGAAGTCTCTGAAATTTAAAAAGGAGGAGGAGGAGGAGAAAGAGGAGAGGAAGATATACGCACTGTTCATGATAAAAGCTTTGGGAGAGGGAAGGTCTACGTTCCACAATGAGGGAGCCTTCCTAGCAAAGCAGTTTCCACGTGCGAGATTTCTATCACCAACACGTTCACTATACTGCACGTACGACGTTGCTCTACTATTGTGGATCCTCATGAAGAATCCTGCTACAAAGTGACCTGCAAGGTCATTTGCCTCTTGACCTCAGAATAAAAAAGGCTTGTCATGCATTGTCTCAGGTTTGCTTAAACCCGTGGTCGGCAAACCGCGGCTCGCGAGTCACATGCG